GCCATCAAGTAGTTGAAGACATTTTTGTGGAATGTGGGAAGAGTAGAAATGACCTGAAAGAGGGAGAATTGGGAATTTTGTTTTTGTGCATTCACTCAGTAGTCCAGTGCTACAGTCCAGGAAGTGAGTACATGATTCAAGTACATGAGCAAGACTGGGCGCAGGAAACTTTGATGGCTTGCTACTTGACATAAGTACCAATAGAAAAGCATAGGTCAAATGCTACATGAATTCAGAGATCTAACATCTACCTGCATGTTCTCAGAAGACTTAAGGGGAAAGAAGATATTTTAGTTGGGTCTTCAAAATAAAACAAAATTGGACTTGCAGAGGTAAGGACTCAGGTAGGTATTTAGGGCAAAAAAAAAAAAAAGGTAAGAGAAGGAAAATAGGTAAGTACAGAGAGCACATTATGAGAAGTCAATCTTGGCTGGAGCATAACTAGAAGGGTTGACCAGCTAGAATTCAAGAAGTACCCCAGCCATCTACATAACAGAATTAGTTGGGGAATTTGCCCAAAATAGATTCCAAAAGAGATTCTGATTCAGTGGATTGGGGTGAGGCTTTGGAACCTGTATTACTGGCAAGTTTTCTCGATTATTCTGCCCAGGCCTGTTGTATGTGTAAACCATCAGGCCAGATCATAAAAAGTCTTGAATATATTGGCTGGGCGTGGTGGCTTATGCCTGTAATCTTAGCACTCTGGGAGGCTGAGGTGGGAGGATCACTTGAGGTCAGGAGTTCAAGACCAGCCTGAGCAAGAGCAAGACCTCCATCTCGACAAAAAACAGAAATATTAGTCGGGCATGGTGGTGTGCGCCTGTCGTCCCAGCTACTCAGGAGGCTCAGCCCAGGAGTTTGAGGCTGCAGTTAGCTATGATGACACCACTGCACTCTAGCCTAAGACAGAGTGAGAACCTGTCTTAAAAAAAAAAAACAAAGTCTTGAATTTTTAAGAAAATCATTAATTAGCAATGGAGAGCCAAGTATGGTTTTTGACCAATGGTAACATGACAAGAGCTTTAGATACACAATCTGATGGCACCATTCAAAACAAATCAGCAGAGGGAGGGCCTGAATGCAGGGCATTGAACCAAGGTGAATGGAATTAGCATGGAAGCAAGAGGATGGGTGATAGGTTGATGGGACTAGGCATGTGGGAGATGAGGAGAGGAGGAGTCAGAAATGACTCATGTTTCAGGGTTGAGTCATGGAATTAAGGGTGATGCCATTAAAGAAAAAGGGACATGAGGAGAAGAACAGGTTTGAGAAGGAATGCCCTCATGAATAGGTTTAGTGCCCCTGTAACAGAGACCCCAGAGAGCTCCCTCACCCTTTATGCCATGTAAGGACACAGTGAGAAGATGGCCCTCTGTGAACCTGGAAGTGGGCCCTCGCCAGATTCCAAATGGACTTGCTGAGTTTCTCAGACATCGCACTTGAGGGACTGTGTCCACTTTGTTCCCTAGGCCCCATGAGGCCTGAAGCTAGCGACATGTGTATGCTGATGCTCAGTGCTTCCCCTCACCTGTTTGCTTGCTGTGTAGTTGCCAGAACACTCCAAGCAGTTGTGGTAGGCACTGTTACAGATGACAGGCTCTGGCAGGCTCTCCAGGAAAAGGAGCAAGGCTTCAGCTACAGAATGATTGCTAGCGGCTTTTGGCCCATGGTTAAGGAACCAGTGATGCTGCTGCCCGTGATTAGAAGAGGCCTGGAAGCAATCACATGCCAGAAGTGCTGCCTGCCCAGGCAGGCTCTTTGCTCAGAGCTAGGTGCCAGCCTAACATCTCGAAGGGGCCACGCTGTTTGCCAAGTAAGCCAAGCCTTCCTGCGTTCCTGCTATATTAGTTGCTTAAAGTTGTAAACTCTTCTCTATGCAAACTTTAAGTAAGAAAAACATGACAGCTGAGGACACAACATCAGATTTGAAGCCTGAAAATACTCTTCTTTCCTTTTTTTCATCGCTCCCATATATTCTCTCTCTCTCTCTCTCTCTCTCTCCCTCCTCCATTTCTCTCTCTCTCTCACACACACACACATACACACACACAGCTGAATGTCCAAAGGATACAGAGGTTATCGATCATCCCAGTATCCAAACAGTCCCTGATATGTTCAAATTCCAACCTCAGGCCTGGCTGCTGAAACAGATCTTCCTGCAAAAGGGAAGAAAGTCATAAAACAATTATTTTCTCAGAAAATCAGCAATGATGTCCTGACCTAGTAGAATCACCAACAAAGTGCAAGAGGGAGCAGTGTAGTGAGACCTCTGAATCACCCTGGCAGACAATCTGATTTAGGCTGAGGTGGCTAATTCATCTTGTAGGCTTTCCCAGGCATATTTCTACAATAGGTCTTTAGGCATCTATTACAAAAGTATGGGCAGGGCACACTGCACATGGCAAGAAGATCCAACATAAGAGAAAACTTAAAAGTAGCTATGTTCAGTCAGATGAGGTTGAAAAGAAAAGAAAACAAAAAGGTAGCCTTGTTTTCTGCAGTGCTATGGAAGGATTAATCAGAAAAAAAAAAAAAACCCTGAAGAAAATCTACCATGTATAAGATGGAGAAAGCTAAAGAGGCATCTCAGTGCTTTGGGCAAACAAGATTATGGCAGTAAAGGTATTTCCATTAGTCTCAGGATACCTTATGTTCATTCGTTTCATAAAATGACTTAATGCCATATAACTGCATTAATAATAACAATATTATATGTATTACTCAAAAGTTACTTTTTTTTTTTTTTTTTAAGACAGAGTCTTAGTCTCCCAGGCTAGAGTACAGTAGCATCATCACAGTTCACTGCAACCTCAAATTCCT